TGTGTCACACGGAGGAGGTTTTTTGGACGGGTGCCTACTCGTTTTTAGTTCGCGGGCGAGCAGCATGAATTCCAAGACCGCTAGTTTGGCCAGGCCAGCATGTGTCACACGGAGGAGGTTTTTTGGACGGGGCATGAATTCCAAGACCGCTAGTTCGGCCAGCCAGCATGTGTCACACGGAGGAGGTTTTTTGGACGGGTACCTACTCGTTTTTAGTCGCGGGTGAGCAGCATGAATTCCAAGACCGCTAGTTCGGCCAGGCCAGCATGTGTCACACGGAGGAGGTTTTTTGGGACGGGGCATGAATTCCAAGACCGCTAGTTCGGCCAGGCCAGCATGTGTCACACGGAGGAGGTTTTTTGGACGGGTGCCTACTCGTTTTTAGTCGCGGGTGAGCAGCATGAATTCCAAGACCGCTAGTTTGGCCAGGCCAGCATGTGTCACACGGAGGAGGTTTTTTGGACGGGGCATGAATTCCAAGACCGCTAGTTCGGCCAGGCCAGCATGTGTCACACGGAGGAGGTTTTTTGGACGGGTGCCTACTCGTTTTTTTAGTCGCGGGTGAGCAGCATGAATTCCAAGACCGCTAGTTTGGCCAGGCCAGCATGTGTCACACGGAGGAGGTTTTTTGGACGGGGCATGAATTCCAAGACCGCTAGTTCGGCCAGGCCAGCATGTGTCACACGGAGGAGGTTTTTTGGACGGGTGCCTATTTGTTTTTAGTCGCGGGCGAGCAGCATGAATTCCAAGACCGCTAGTTTGGCCAGGCCAGCATGTGTCACACGGAGGAGGTTTTTGGGACGGGGCATGAATTCCAAGACCGCTAGTTCGGCCAGGCCAGCATGTGTCACACGGAGGAGGTTTTTTGGACGGGTACCTACTCGTTTTTAATCGCGGGTGAGCAGCATGAATTCCAAGACCGCTATTAGTTTGGCCAGGCCAGCATGTGTCACACGGAGGAGGTTTTTTGGAAGGGGCATGAATTCCAAGACCGCTAGTTCGGCCAGGCCAGCATGTGTCACACGGAGGAGGTTTTTTGGACGGCGCCTACTCGTTTTTAGTCGCGGGCGAGCAGCATGAATTCCAAGACCGCTAGTTTGGCCAGGCCAGCATGTGTCACACGGAGGAGGTTTTTTGGACGGGTGCCTACTCGTTTTTAGTCGCGGGCGAGCAGCATGAATTCCAAGACCGCTAGTTTGGCCAGGCCAGCATGTGTCACACGGAGGAGGTTTTTTGGACGGGGCATGAATTCCAAGACCGCTAGTTCGGCCAGGCCAGCATGTGTCACACGGAGGAGGTTTTTTGGACGGGTGCCTACTCGTTTTTAGTCGCGGGTGAGCAGCATGAATTCCAAGACCGCTAGTTTGGCCAGGCCAGCATGTGTCACACGGAGGAGGTTTTTGGGACGGGGCATGAATTCCAAGACCGCTAGTTCGGCCAGGCCAGCATGTGTCACACGGAGGAGGTGTTTTGGACGGGTGCCTACTCGTTTTTAGTCGCGGGCGAGCATCAGCAGGATGAAAGTTTTGTCGCACTAAGATGTCTTTGCTTGGCGGAGGACTCGGAGTACGAAGAAGTGCATGTTACGTGGCCTGGCTAGCGGAGGAATTTCCATGCTAAAATGAACATACAGTGTTTTTTGTTCCGACGGAGGAATTAGTGACGTCCTTGCCAAACATCGCGACTTCGTGAAGGAGTCTATGGGGGGAAGGGGTTTGCGAGTATGTGTTAGCAGACTTACCGGATGCGACGAACTATTGTCCTGGCGCAGCATGAATTCCAAGACCGCTAGTTTGGCCAGGCCAGCATGTGTCACACGGAGGAGGTTTTTGGGACGGGGCATGAATTCCAAGACCGCTAGTTCGGCCACGCCAGCATGTGTCACACGGAGGAGGTTTTTTGGACGGGTGCCTACTCGTTTTTAGTCGCGGGTGAGCAGCATGAATTCCAAGACCGCTAGTTCGGCCAGGCCAGCATGTGTCACACGGAGGAGGTTTTTTGGGACGGGGCATGAATTCCAAGACCGCTAGTCGGCCAGGCCAGCATGTGTCACACGGAGGAGGTTTTTTGGACGGGTGCCTACTCGTTTTTAGTCGCGGGAGCAGCATGTGTCACACGGAGGAGGTTTTTTGGACGGGGCATGAATTCCAAGACCGCTAGTTCGGCCAGGCCAGCATGTGTCACACGGAGGAGGTTTTTTGGACGGGTGCCTACTCGTTTTTTTAGTCGCGGGTGAGCAGCATGAATTCCAAGACCGCTAGTTCGGCCAGGCCAGCATGTGTCACACGGAGGAGGTTTTTTGGACGGGGCATGATTTCCAAGACCGCTAGTTCGGCCAGGCCAGCATGTGTCACACACTTGTCACACGGAGGAGGTTTTTTGAACGGGTGCCTACTCGTTTTTAGTCGCGGGCGAGCATCAGCAGGATGAAAGTTTTGTCGCAGTAAGATGTCTTTGCTTGGCGGAGGATTCGGAGTACGAAGAAGTGCATTTTACGTGGCCTGGCTAGCGGAGGAGTTTCCATGCTAAAATGAACATACAGTGTTTTTTTGTTCCGACGGAGGAATTAGTGACGTCCTTGCCAAACATCGCGACTTCGTGAAGGAGTCTATGGGGGAAAGGGGTTTGCGAGTATGTGTTAGCAGACCTACCGGATGCGACGAACTTTCGTCCTGGCGCAGTACCCCCCCCACCCCCCCACCGTTCCGAAACCCTTTGCAGCACGGGCTTTGGGTGTTTGCCGGCAAGCTGGAATCTTGTGGTCTTCATAGGACACCAGCAATCAGGAACCCTAAACCCTAATCCCCAAACCCTAAACCCTAACCCTTTCCTTTGCCTTCAGCAAGGGAACATACCATTAAAAGTGACACAGGAACGAAAGAGGTTTCACTATGCGTTTTGACTCGCCATGTAAATGCACATACGTTCGTAGTCCCCTCCCCCCTACTGTTCCCGACCTTTTGCCGTAGGCGTTCCTGAAAATTGCGGGGAAAGTGTCTGAAAATTGCCCCCGCATCTGCTTGAAAAACTCTCCTCTATGCCCGACCCATGGTTGCCAAATTTTCACAGATTTTACAAACGCATATACATGTACATCATGCCCAAAAGCACATGCAGATGCATATCTGTTGGCATGTTGTGATTCTCTACAAGAGGCATTGTCCTGGTACAGACATACATAAGGAAATATGCGCTTATGTGTAGACATTCATACACAGATACACACATACTTCCAGACACACATGCAAACATACGAACATATATACATACATACAGACAGACAGAAAGACAGACCGACAGACTTGCAGACATGCAGACATGCAGACCTGCAGACACACAGACACACAGACACACAGACAAACCGAGAACCGAAGTTACGTCGCACCTGGTACCTGCGGTCCTGCATACCTAAACACATAAGTACGCACACGCAGACAAACAGACGACGGACAAGCAGACATGTGTATAGGCGTGTGTGCGTGTGTGTGTGTATATATATATATATATATATATTCATATTCATATACATATACATATACATATACATATATATATACGATATGACAAGATCATATACCCGTGTCGTATCTAGACATAATGAAAGATAACGGAGCACGTCACCTGTGTCCCTACATTGGTTTGTTTGCTTAGCTTATTATGCTTAGCTTTATCCGTACATATACATATTGGATCATATTGGCATACGCGACCACATAGCGATTTTCCCCAGCGTTTACGGAACTGTTTGCTTTTATCTACAAGCATTAGACTCATTAGACATGAAGCCTTAGGGTGATTTATACGTCCATCTCATTTTTCTATGTGAGTCTTCTTGTTGAATGAGTATACCTAAAAATAAACCCAACGAAAGCCTCTGGGGCCAATGAAGAGAGAAATGCAGCAAGCCAAGCAGGTACGATGCGAAGAAATGCGAAGAAATCACCACACGCAAAGCTGCAAAGACAAAAAATGCCTGGAGGTGGGAGGTCAGGAAGAAACCGAACCGGAACGCTGACGAGCCAACAAGGCGAAAGCGGTCTTGAAGCCACTGAGCTGGTAAGTCAACGAAGCAACAAGACATGTGCCCAAGAAGGTCCAGTCCGGGAAACTGCAGAGCACGGAACGCCAAGAAGCCAATAGCCACGAGCCAAAGACGACCAAAAGTCCCAACTTAGAAGCATCACACAAATAGGACGGCGGGCTAGCACGCGCAACTGCAGGACCCGTGGCGACGATGTAAGGTGTCACGGTGGCACGGACATTCATGACAATGGGTCCCCGTAGCAGGCTCCAGCACACCCCAAATGTCTGCGAAGCTAAAGCCAAGCTGCGACATCCTCGCATGTCGGGCAGCCCAAACAGTCAAGGCCTCTTCCACACAGCAAAGGCCCTGCTTAGCTTGCAAACAACTTCTTTTGTTTAATGACCTACTGGATCCAACCTTCGTGTGCATAAGAATCATCTGAACCTGGCAAGGGGCACACATGGCAAGCTAGCTTGCTCCTCCCAGTTGAGAAGCTTCGCACCGTCTGCTTCGTGAGAACCTGAAAAAGAACTTCAGCTTAGGGCGGGCAAAAATGCTGAAGAACAAAACACTGATCATCTTGGCTTCAGGATACCAAGACAAAACGCGGCAGTAACAAGAAATTGCCAGCTGTTCGCTAGACCAACGCGGAAGGGGAACTTCTACAAGTCAGGGTGTAGCGTTGTTTTGGGATACCTCCACACATGTGCAGCCGACTAGTGCAACAGACATATTTGGCAAGTCCTCCATGAGGTCCTGTAGATGAATCTACGATGGCGGCTGGCTTTCCTTCCTTTCCTTCTTCTTGGGGGCCTTCCTTGCTTCCTTTCAGTCCTTCTGCTCTCTCCTTGTAAGCGTTTTTTGACAATACCAGGACTTTTGTGACACTGACAAATGCCTTCTTCCATGATGCTTCTCGACGTCACGCTTATCATCTGTGTTGATGCCTATGCCCAGTGACATGGCGACCACCCACTCAGCTCCAGACTGTGTTGTTGAACACGCCGTCCAATCTGAAGATTTGCCCGTTCCTGCTGGACCGCCATGATCAAGACTCGCTATGACTCGCTCGTTTCGGAAGCCCGAGGCCTGGTGTTCGCAAACAGGAAAACGTCGAGGACTCCCTTGAGGCCAACCCTGCAAGCGGCGGAGCAGAGGAAAATACGGCATGTAGAGCATGAAGAAAAGGTACTTCCACGTCTTCAAGCTGCCGGCTCGTCACTATCGTCGTCGCGGGGAACTACGTCAACCATAGACCTTTCCCAGCATATCAACACAGGCTGCAACGCCTTTTCAATCCATGTAAGCGCCGAACTGATAGACGGGATTCCTGGAACGAATACCCGTCGCGCATTTTTCTGAGCAAGTCCACCCGTCTTAGGAACCGTGTCCTCGATGGATCTGCTGTTGGAAAATGTGGTTGGGTGTCAGAGACCTTTGAGAACAAGAGAAAGCACTGAAAGCACGACGAACTCCTCCCAATCGTGAAACCAAGGCGTTTGCTATCTGTATGAAGGGGGCGAGGTTGTAGCGCTGGACATTAATTGTTGACTGCGCCACACGCGATGCAATGTCCCTCAGCACCACAAGATATGCTTGAATAAAGCAAGTGTTTCGTTGCGGCTGATTTCCGATCTTCCTTTGGGGAGCCAACAAGTATGGCTCTCTGGGATCATAAGCAACTCGAATAGGCCTCCAACCAACGCGAAGGAGCAGTCGAAGAAAGGAGCATAGGCACAGCTGCGACTGAAGGCTCAGGCAGCATGTTGAGAAAGTTGCCGATGAGGTTTGCGACTGCCTCTCTGACCAGTCTCCATGCCAGAAATTTGCAACAACATACAGGAGGCGTCTCGAGGAGCTGAGCGCCGTACAGGCAAGCTGCGCAAAGCAAAGGCTGTGGCCATCTTAGTAAAAATCACGTTGGCCATCGTTGGCTACAAAGTCAACTCAGACACCGTGAACAGCGCCGCTGTACAAGTTAAGACTCAAGCGTAAACAACCCGCTGGTTTGCCATGCGCATCAGCGCTAACCTTGGCAATTCTGGGATGCAAAAGATGACACCGAAAGGGTGCGGCAAAAAAAGACACTTCCGAGTCCGGTTCGAAAAGTTGCAGATCACGATTGCAAACGGGGTGATGCCTCGGCGTCTCTGTGCATCCTGAAAACGCCAAGGGGGGAGTAGAGGCCCGCTCGAGATCCCGCAAGCTTTGGAGCATCGGCACTCATGGAAACTCGTGGTGAGGCCGCAGCGTGGGTTCAAGTCCATGACCCTGACAGCCGAATGATGCACTCAAACCAAACTCTCAATGCTGCATGCAGCACTGCTAATCTCCTTAGTGGTGTCATCATGGCCATTACCATCGTGATAACGATTGCTATTGTTATTGCGCTATTGTTTATCCTATGAGCTCGATTCTGAAAGCTCGTACTACTACTTCTGCTATTGTTGCCAAAACTACTATGTTGCTGTTCGAATTCTTAAGCTTACTCGTATGCCTACTATTCTTATGAACAGCAGCAGCAGAATGAGTCGGAGAAGGAGTAGACTGAGTAGAAGCAAGAAGTGGTAGGAGTAGCAGTAGTAGGACCAGCAGCAGCAGTAGCCGTCACCGTAGCGGTAGCGTTGCAGCAGCAGTTCGAGCAGGAGTCGGAGTCGAAGCGGAAGGAATGTAGGAGAGAAAGGAACAGGAGAGGTAAGAGTAGGAGGAGTAGGAGGAGGAGGCACGGATCGTGTATTTGACGCCGCGTTTTCGTGGCCAGCATAGATTCTGGACGAGTTTTGTAAGTTTAAAACATCAAAACGCAATGTATTCATCATGGTGGCGGTTTTATGGTGCAAGCAACCGAGGATGATTCTATACTTGTGTATTTCGCGGCTCTTCTGAAAGGTTTTCATCGGTATTTACGGGGCTTTCGGGCTTCCAGGTAGAGCAATCACGAGGGCGGCAATTTCAGGGTTTATGCATGCAATGTACTGTATTCATCATGGTGGATTCTATGGTTCAACCAACCATGGGTCTGATGATAATGAATTTACATACTGACCGTAAACGGCTGTTCAAGGACCGAACCTCCTCAACTATAGATTCATTAGTGGTAGTCGTCGTCGTCGCAATCGTCGTAGCAGCAGCAGCAGTAGGAGTAGCAGTAGCAGTAGCAGAAGCAGTGGCAGCAGCAGTTGCTGTAGCAGTGGCTGTAGCAGTTGTAGCAGCAGAAGCAATAGTCGTAGTAGTTATAGTATTTAGCAGAAGTGAAGTAGTAGTAGTAGTAGTAGTAGTAGTAGTAGTAGTAGTAGTAGTAGTAGTCGTAGTCGTAGTCGTAGTCGTAGTCGTAGTCGTAGTCGTAGTCGTAGTCGTAGTCGTAGTAGTAGTAGTAGTAGTAGTAGTAGTAGTAGTAGTAGTAGTAGTAGTAGTAGTAGTCTTGTCGCCCACCTGGCATACCTGTGGCAGCTCCGCGGGGACTTAAGAATAGCAAGTCACAACGGGGCTAGCTACAGGAAAACAGCGGAACAGAAGGCTGTTTTCCTGTAGCTAGCCCAGTAGTAGTAGTAGTAGTAGTAGTAGTAGCAGTAGTAGTAGCAGTAGTAGTAGTAGTAATAGTAGTAGTAGTAGTAGTAGTAGTAGTAGTACTAGTAGTAGTAGTAGTAGTAGTAGTAGTAGTAGTAGTAGTAGTGGTGGTAGTCGTAGTAGCAGAAGTACCGGTAGTAGTGGGGGCAGTAGTAGCAGTAGTACTACTACTACTACTACTACTACTCACATTCGTCGGTTTGTAAGAGTCCTAAGAGTCCTTATTGGGGTCGGCTGGGGTCGGTTGGGTACCGGTTGGGTACTGGCACAGTCGCTTTGGCCGTTGCGCACGTGCAATACTCTGCGCGGCACTTGGCGCACACGCCAGGGGTAGGCGTTGGTCGATGTGCTTTTCGCGCAGGGCTTGTGTGGCTTGTGTGTAGGTGTTAGACAGAGACGAGCCGAAGAGCAAGAACGTGCTATCGGTGTCGGACATACTGGTCCTGAAGCGGTAGCTCTCACAAGCGTAAAAGAAAAGTAAGTCAGAGCAGTGCATGCATGCACACCGCTGAGTGCACTTACCTCCTGCTGATACTCTACCTCGCCTCACCTCTGTAGGTGCTTGCCCTTAGTTACCCTAAGTTGCCTCCCCCCCCCCCCTTTGACCCGATGTACCCTACCTCAGGTCCATGCCATACGCCGTGCAACAGCTGCCGCATCGCGATCCCCTGCCCTAGGCAATTACTGTGTGCTATCGGACTGTCACACGCACGCACCCGCACGCTGTGACACTATCATATCCGGCCCTGCGCAGGACACTCCATTGATCTCTACTCTGCTCAGCTCGCGCACGGGGCGCCTTGCTGTCGACACTCGCTGGCCCTAAGGGGCGGCCAGCCTGGTCGCTGTCCTATCGTTAGCTGCCACCGCGCGGTTCCTTTCCGCTGGCCCTGAGGGGTGGCCAGCACGGCGATACGCCGTCTGCCTGTTGGTGGCTCATGACGACAGCAGCACTGCATCGATGTATTACTCCGGGTGGCCCATTGCGTTTTCAGCTTAGTGGTCAGGCCAATCATCGACATTGCTGCAGCTCTTGCTCAGTGGGAGGAGGCAGATTCCATACAAGACGATGTCGCCGACATCAGCGGATGCTTAGACAACTCCATGAGCACGACTTTTCCACATCAGGCCCCCCCCCTACTTTCCAGTGTAGAACTGCAGGCTGTGCAAGGCAGGCGCATGCTGGTCATCGTACATGCTGCTCTTCCTGCTCGCGCTCGGGCTCTATAACACACACACCTCGCTGTCAGTGGCTGACCCAGCACACTACGGGCAACACGAGCACTACTTCCACGGCGAGTGCAGTCCTGCTCCCAGCGGATGGCATGACGATGGACGCGGCTACTGAGGAAGGATCGGCTGGCTCGGCTAGCATCGCTGACTTTCCAGATGGGGCTGCTACTTCAATCTCCTTGCCAGGCTTGTCTGGCTCACCAGGCACTCAGACAGTCACGCAGGTGGGATCTCTTCCCACTTGCGTGCCGTCTGTCACTAGTACGCCAGTGGAAGATGCGAGACTCAGCTCAAGTACCGCTCGTGGGAGTTGTACAGGACTTTCGACTTTCGACTTGGTGCTCGATGAAATGGACTAGTTAATGATTTTGTGGTCAATCGAACCACTTTGTTCCGGAGCCGTAACTGCGGTGCGATCTAGAATCGCCGGGCGCTAGCGCCTGTCCCCACCTTGTGCTGACTTGGACGAGCACGGTGACCGAGTGAGTGAGTGAGTACTACTACTACTACTACTACTACTACTACTACTACTACTACTACTACTACTACTACTACTGCGTGGGGGATTGATCTCGACTAGGTTGCTGCTCTCCCCACCAGAGCTGTAATGAATGTAGGTGTGGCTGGCTTGCACTCTCCACAGACTGGGACCCTGTCTCTCTCACACTTCCACACGCGCAATCCTATGCAGGCAGAACCGGCGGCCGTTCCTTTTGCACTCGCTGCCGGCGGCGGTTCGTCTGTGCACGGGATAGCTCTGATTGCTCAGGATAGAAGACACATATAGCACTTAGCTATGGGCATTGACTTGAGCCAAACGTTGCGTGGGCGGTCACATAGAAAGGTAAAGACGAGGGACGCGTAGCGTGCCCCCTTAGAGTCGAGGGACGCGTAGCGTGCCCCCTTCTCTTGCACTTTACACGGTCTTGCTCACAGCTCTTATAGTGACACCTTAGAACTTGACAAGGCATCGCAGTCCGTTCGCACCCCCCATGAGTTGCGTCTCCGACGCTGCTCACCCGGAAGATGGCACGATAGGACAACAGAAAATGTTCCGCCGCAACGTTGGCATTGAAAATCAGAGCTTTGCATCCCAATTAGAAACGTTGTGACACTCATCTACGTTAGTAACGATCCCCTGAAATGGCAAACGAATCAGGCGTCACCAAAGAAAGAAGCATTCGCGATAGCATTCCATGGGCGAAGCTCAGAGGTCACGAACTGATAGGCGAGGAAGACCAAGCGTTGATTCATCTCCATCTTCGCGTGGTCGCAGGATCGCGGTCCCAGGGCCGGAGGTTTTCCTCTGGATACTGTTCCCTTTGCTTTCCTTTGTCCTTGCCTTTGTTTCGGCCTTTGCCGGCGGTGTAGTCATAGTAGGTGTTGGCGTTCCAGCCTCCATGCTGTTCACCTCCGGTTCTCTCACGCCCTTTTGAAGGTCCCTTGGCCGAAGAAGCGCTTGCACGTTCCTCCGTAGTGACAGGCGTGTCCAGAATGGAAGTACCACCTGGAGGGAGATAGTCAGCGGCCGAAATGTGGTGTACTGTAGGGCTTCAGTACGCTTGGTCGTCGGGTTTTGCTGTCTCTCAGCCTTGGATCTGTTCAATCTGTCCATGAAATGCGCAGGCATTTGCACATTGTGGTCCACCAGCAATCCGATGGTCTGGACTGAATGATCGGCATGAGTCAGCAGGATACCGACGGGGTCGATGTACAAGAAGTCTACCGGTCCAGTTGGCGTTGGTCGTAGCACTGAGAATTGTTGGTGTCCTGTCACCATCGGAATCACCTCGCACAGGACGTTCAGGCAACAAAAGTGCATAGCCTTCACATCTTCATCCCTTTGGCTCTTCAAGTACGTAGTAGGGTTGAAGTTGTCCCTGCCAATTCCCATCATGTTGGCTCCCCGCGTAAGCAAAGAAAGCATCTGATTCGTCCGGAAGCGCTTCAAAGTGTAAGTCCCGTTGGGATCGTACTGCTTGAGGTTCTCAGGTTCCTTGGCAAAGCGAATGATCTCCTCATCAGTCACATCCCTGCTCACACCAGTCTCTCTGTCCACTACAGCCAATGATCCCCACTTTCCAAGCACATCATAGCGTTGGCCAAGTGCGAAGTTCTCCTTCATCTGAAACAACGGCATAGTAGCCCACTTCGCGAAGCCTGACCAAGCCTTGTAGATGGTCCTGCATACCACGAAAGCCATATACGAAAGAGC